TATGAGTGTGTGAGGGTGTCATTATGGGGGTAACCTGAAACCTGCTCTAATTTTTTTTAAATATGCCATTTACAAATGTTGTTACTTCAGTTGTTCAGTAAGAAACTATTTGCAACCCCACCATAGATTAAAACCTTTCAGAGGGCCCTGGGTGGCACAGTCTGTTAAGCATCTGACTCTTGGTTTCGGCTCAGGTTGTAATTTCATGGGTCGTGGGATCAAGCCCCGAATCGGGCTCTGTGCTCAGTGTGGAGTCCGCTTGGGTTTCTCTCTCTCCATTTCCCTCTGCTCCTCCTCTCTTGTTCTCTCCCTCTCTCTAAAATAAATAAATCTTTTAAAAAATTAAATAAAACCTCTCAGAACACCACTGATTTAGGCTTCTGCCCCACTGCAACAGCTGAATCTCCAACCTACACTGTCTCCTTGTGGGAAAGATGTTTCACAGTTCACAGGAGGAAACAGGTGCAGAGAACTCACCTCACTTACTCAGGTCGGTCATGACTTCAGTGGGGTGGTCAGATCGATCTTTAACTCAGCCTTCCACAAACTCACACTACCCACAACAAGATCCTAAACTAGGAGGCAGGGGTTCCCATCTCGGCTTGCTGTGCACACTTGGGCAAAATGCAAGGCTCCCAAGTGCAGAGTGAGAAGTGAGATGCAGAAACACATGGGCCCAGAGTCAGATGCAGTGGGAGCCAGGCTCTCTCACTGCCATCCCCTCTGAGCCTTCATTTCTCACCATGATAAAAATCACTGGCCAAGAGGCAGATAACAACAGTCCCCTGAGAGTACACATGTGAAAGAGTATTCTTCAAATATCAGCTATTCAATAGATTTCAAAAGGAAATCTAACATTACCTTGTCTTGGAGCTTCGTGAACAGCTTAGGAGCGTATTAAGATCAAACCCAATGAAGAGAACCTGGTGTTCACGTACGGCTGTAAAAGAAGTTTAATTAACACTCCCTGAAGCCCAACCAACAATATTCATGACTCCCATCAATTGTTTTCTTATTTATACAACACACCCAAGCTCCAAGCAATCATTCTAAGCCCCCTGGAAAATACCACAGGCTAAAGATGTAAGGAGCTCAGGAGTAATTTCCATGTACCTAGAACAGTGGTTCTCAAACTTCCGTGTACATCCGAATCACCTGCAGAGCTTGTTAAACACAGTTTGCCGGGCCCACCCCAGAGTTTCTGAAGCAGTGCATTGATGTGGGGCTCAAGGATTTGAATATCTATCAAGTTCCCAGGTGATGCTGATGCTGCTGGTCTGAAGACCACACATGGAGAACAATTGATTTAGAAAAACTCAAACATCAGAAAGAGATGGAATTTTTTCTAATTGTCATGAACTACGCATAAACAATAAATTGACCATTTCAGCCATTTAGAAATGGGTGGAACTTAAGAACAGAAATCATTACGCCATCAAAAGTGAGTTAGGGTGAGGGTTATTAAGTTATATCTATGGATGAGTGTCATGAGGTCTTTGAAGCGAGCTCAGCACTGCTTACAGGTAGTAAAAAGGGGCACTAGTGACCTCTACCATACTCTGCCTTATAGGGTGACTGGAATGAATATCAGGACACCCAGGAACCTGCCCCTCCCTAGTAGCCCTCAGCTCCTGATGCCTTAGCACAATCCACCTTTCCCCCAATGTGACTGGACCCTGAGTGATCTCTTGATCCATGGCCCACCAATCAGATTCACTCGCATGAATTTAAACTAAGAGACACAGAGAGGACAGTCCATGAGCTGTGGGTCTTAGACCTGAAGGCTTCAGTGAGGTGCCCACCAGGGCCACGTGCGAGCTGAGGTAATAGGGAAAAGAGCAAGGGTAACTGGAGGGGGGGCAAAGGTGAGAGATCTTGGAGGGAGTGGTAATGAAAAGGGACACTCGGGCACAGAGCAGTTCCCATGCTTATGCCTGAACCTGGAAGCCTGATGGTCTTTATTTCCACAAGACCAAAGCATCTTTGTCATTTTTGTACAGAACCTGTCTTCTTTCTTGAGTCAATGGGAGCTAAGGGACCAATAATACAAAGGCAAGGGACACTAAACCTGTCTGGGATGGGCTCTCAGACCAGCCCTCTTCTGGTCCCTCCTCTTATTGGAACCTCAGACTTCCAAAACTGCTACTCCCCAAGCCAATGCACCAAATGTCACTGAAAACCTCTCCAGCAAAAGGGGAACCCTCCTACACTGTTGGTGGGAATGCAGACTGGTGCAGCCACTCTGAGAAACAGTATGGAGTTTCCTCAAAAAGTTAAAGATAGAACTACCCTACAATCTAGCAATTGCACTACTAGGTATTTACTCAAAGGATACAAAAATAGTGACTTGAAGGGGCACCTGCCCCCCCATGTTTATAACAGCACTATCAACAACAGCCAAAATATGGACAGAGCCCAAATGTCCATCAACTGATGAATGCATAAAGATGTGGTGTAAATATGCAATGGAATATTACTCGGCCATCAAAAAGAATGAAATCTTGTCATTTTCAACATCGTGGCTGGAACTAGACTATATTATGCTAAGCAAAATAAGTCAGAGAAAGACAAATACCATATGATTTCACTCATATGTGGAATTTAAGAAACAAAACCGATGAACATAGGGGAAGGGAAGGAAAAATAAGATAAAAACAGAGAGGGAGGCAAACCATAAGACTTAACTATAGAGAACAAACTGAGGTTGCTGGGGGGAGGCGGGTGGGGGGACGGGCTAGATGGGTGATGGGCATTAAGGAGGGCATTTGTGATGAGCACGGGGTGTTCTATGTAAGTAATGAATCACTAAATTCTACTCCTGAAACCAATACTACACTGTATGCTAACTAACTTGAATTGAAATAAAAACTTGGAAGGACAAAAACAAACCTCTTCAGCAATGGTCCACTCACCCTCGAGAAGGCTAAAGAGCAGCCCGGTTGAGTTCTTCCTGGTGGAAGGGCAGTCCTGGAATCTCAGATTGAAGATGAAAATTTTCACTTTTGGCTCAATAGTCTGAAAAAGATCAAAGCCAGCAAGTGAACGGAAGCGGCCTAGAGTAAGTGTTTTGATAACAGGGACAGATCTTCGAGAAGCTACAAACACTCTGGTTTGGGAAATGTTCTCTAGCCAGGTCAATTAATAAAGAGAGCAGACTCTAGACTCTAAGGGAAAACAGTCTACACGTTTCAGTAACATCAGCCACCCTTCCCATTCACCCCCAGCAAAGAGGCAGGTTCCACATGCTTACAAGTCTCCTCCTAGAACGAGGCACTAAGTGTTGGGACCAGGAACAAAGCCATCCACTCATGTTAGGGGCCTTTGTTACTACAGGAAGCTTAATCAGGTGCCACCATAACAGTATTTATGAATGTCTGGGGTTTGCTTCAAAACAATCTGGCTTGAGGGGCGCCTGGGTGGCTCAGTCTGTTAGGTGACCGACTCTTGATCTCAGCTCAGGTCTTGATCTCAGGGTCGTGAGTTAAAAACAACAAGAGCAACAACAAAAAAACCCCAGTCTGGCTTGAGAAGGGAAAGGTAGGGCATAGATGGAACAAGGTCAGCCATGAGTCAATAGCTTTTGAAGTCGGGGATGGCGTCATGATACTTTCTTTCTACCTTTGGCTATATTTGACATTTCCCATGATAAAAAGTTAAAAGGAGTGGCCCTCATTCAAATGGAACAGGTGTGACTTTTCTCCCATTTCTAAACCATGTCACTGTGGAAGGAAACATTTGTAGGTTGACCTGTCGTTTGACTTCACCTTAAATTACCTTTTTAGGGGAGGCTGGGTTTGGTCATTTTCCCCATACCAAGTTTTTCCTCCTCTGAGAGCCTAAAGGCCACTGAGAGATACCAATACAACCACTGCCAAAGAAGGCAGGCACATTACTTTCTGAGTCACCTGCAACAGTGTCCCTTCTTTACAGATAAGGTGTCTTCAGCTTTGAGAAGCTAAGTTGCCCAGGACCACAATGAGTAGAGTTGCAGCTCACACAGCCCTTGTCCTTTCCCTATGCTGGGTCAGTGTGGGAAAGCCCAACTATTAAGGACTCAGAGGGTTTTCTCTTTCCTGCAAGGTCAATACACAGTGGGGGCAGCCTGTGATATGATAGGATGGGAGAGCTGGAGGAGCCTTCTGCTGGGTGGAGAATTCCCTGGGTGAGCAGAGCCTTTCCTGCTAAGACGATGTGGGAGGCTGCTCATGGACCTCCTGCAGAATTCAGAGGTGCGGTGGCTCTTTATTGAGGTGCTGGGCCTGAGGATGTCCTCCAGCCCTAAAACACTGGTGCACTGGTGGGAGGTGCAGCAGCTGACGGTCCCTGAGGCTCAGAGAGAGACAGGCAAGTGCTCTGGGGAAGGTGGAGGGGAACGGGAAAGGAGCGGGCACCTGCTTCTTGCTGCCCTGCCTTATCTTCCCTGCAGCCCCAGGAGGAGGCAGGGAGGCTGGGCTGAGGAGGGACGGTAGGTATGCTGGGAAGGAAGCTGTGGGTGGTGTGATTCGGGTTCCCTGGGGAGAACTCAGCTGTTCTTCCTGTCCTGGGGGTGCTAACTGTGTGGGAATGCCATAGGCTCGTAACCGATGACCGCAGAGAGGGACCATCTCCTTTCCAGCTCTGTTCTCTCCTCATAGCTGGTGATCAGAGTGGTCATCCTGAATCTCTGGGGCTGCCTCCGAGCTGTCAAGTGCAACATCTGGAATCTAATTCCTACCTAAGGAAATAAAAGGAACAAAGAATCCCAGCAGGGCATAATCAATGGCTGCCAAGTTTGTCCAGGGAAGGTTTTACTGTTTGGCTGGCCAGCTATTGACTGAGGGTTCACAGCTCTATCCAGGCACTGGTGGGAGCAGGTCTTCTTGAAAATGTTTTGATATAAAAAGGGAAACCCGGTAAACCACATCCTCAAGCAGAAATTAAGCCCAAGCTCTGTTGATGGGCTCTCTGAAGCATGCTGCGTCTGCATAACCCAGACAGTTTTAAAATGTCAGCGTTGTCTGAACGCATTAACTGAGCAACAAGCTCTGGTTGACTTCCTTAAGGATGATAAAAGACAGATTTAGTTATCACAGGCATCGGAAGGCCTTGAAGACACTACTTAAGTGCCACTGAAGGACCAGAAATCTGGCTAGCAAGCCCACCAGGGCAGGCTCTGGGTCAAGGCAATTTGGGTTCAGGTAAGAAGATATTTACTAAAAAAATATATATATATATATATATATATTTTTTTTTTTACAAAAACAACTAAAATTATATGTGATTTTCAAAAACGTCACTCTCATTATAATGTCCCCAACACCTTGGAATTATTTTTGTTTTGGAGAGGCAGTGTGGTGTCACAAGAAAGCCTGCTTCCAATCCCAGCTCTGCTCCCTACCTAGTGTCTGACCTTGGTTATGTTTCTTACGTGTTGGGGTCTGCTGTGAGGGGGAGAAATATCGTGAGGATAAAGTGCCCCACATGGTGCTGGGCACAGAGCAGGCACGAAAATCACAGCGGCTATTACTCAAACGTCTTGCGACTGCATCTGCTGGCTTTGATTATGAGATCCTATTACTTGTAGATAATAAAAGTAGCGGTGCCTACAAGGTGCAGCAGGAAACCCACAGACCCCGGGGGTGGGACTGACGCTAATTTGTCTGTTTCCAGCTTCCAGCCTCAGGTCGAATGGAGATTCCACCTAGCTGCAGCACTGAGGGTTTGACACCGAGGAGCTTGGCCTTTCAACAGATAATCCATCTTACAATCCATCCGGCTTGGTGGTGAGGATGCTGGGATTCCAAACCAGGAGGCACAGGGCAGAAAGCAGAGGGGAGCGGTTTTGTGCCCACCCCTGCAAGAGCAAGAGGAAGTCATGGGTGAATGCTGGTGACCAGGCATCCCCAGAGAGGCCTGTGAGAAGGTAGCCCTTCAGGGGTAAGTATGGCAATGCTGAAAGGACTCGGAAGGTACAATCCATTCTACCCTGTCAGGAGGTGGGGGGGAATAGTCAGAACTCCAGGGAATTTGGAGTTTGTCGTCCTCAAGGAAGTTGCTCAGCAGTGACCAAGCATAGGGGAGAAAGCTAACAGGTGGGTAGGTGGCAACCAACATACTTTCTCTAACTAGTCACAATCATTACCCTCGAGGAAAACAATACTGGGAACAGGAAGAAAGGACCTAAGGTTACAGGAAGGTTCCCAGAGCTGGCCTCTGATTTAGCAGACCTGGGTGTGAAATGTCTTTTTTTTTTTTCAGTTGTGGGTGGGGAAATACACATACAATTTACCACCGTAACCATTTTCACATGTATAGTACAGTGGCATTAAGTCCATTCACGCTGTTGTATAACCATGACCACCGTCCATGAAATGCCTTCTTAAATCTTAGAAAGAACACTGAAATTTCAATTCTCAGATTTCTACACAAGAGATCATGTAAATATTTAACATGATAACCCTCCTGACCCCTTCCAGGGAAGACTGCCTGACCACCCCCCCCCCATGTTCTCCAGCAGTGCATTCAAGGGCGATCTCCCCCAGTGCAACTCTATCTCTGCCAACTGTGGGGGCAAGCTCAGTTTACCCATCAGCCAGGCCATTAAATGTCTACTATGCTGTTGGGAACTTTCTCCATTCATCATCAATATAGGAAATGGCTCAAATTACCTGCAATTTACTCAGCTTCTGTGGCAAACTTGCTTCACTTTGGCATTCGTAAGACAAATCAAGAGAGAGGAAATCAACAGTGCCCTAGAAATAAGTAAATAGGGTCGTTAGAACGTAAGCAATTTCAAGGCAAACTACTGTTCGGAAATATCCTTTTTTCTTTCTCCTCCTATTCCTAAACTGATACTCTGAAGTGAGATTTTCCAAGGGAAAAGCAGGCAGAGGACAAGCTGGGACAGAATGAGAATGTGTGCGTGGGATGTGCTGTTCGGAATACATCACCACAGACTCAGCAAAGTGCTTGGCACACAGTAAGTGCTCGATCAATGTATATGATTAAATGAGTGAATGAATGAAGTTCTGTATGCCAGAAATTGTGGGTTCCCACCAAACAGGTGAGCACTAAGGGAGTCATCAGAGGCCAGAGCTGCCCTGGTCAGCAGCCCTCCCATTTTGCCGGGATGGAAAGAGTGGAGCCCTCAGACACCCACAGGACCCTCAGGGATCTCTCCAGACCTTACTGGGATTTGGGGGATCATTTTAATTGTAGGCTATAGTCACTGGCCACTGTCAGGCCACAGTTTAAAGTCTGCCCTAGTGGACCCTAGCTTGGCATATAGTATTATTGGAGGACACAGCTCTCACGGTCCTGGACATACCACCCTGCATATATTCTAAGAACTTCAGATTCACAGAGTCTAAACCCATAAAGATACCAGTGGGATTCCCTCTCTGCCTATCTCAGAAGTCATTCTATCCTTATCAGGACTGGATCATCCCCTGTCATCTCTCCTCCAGAGATGATCTGTTCTTTCAGGACAAAGATCCTGGATAACGGCATCGGATGACAACCAAAGGCCCTATGGACCTTCGATAACTGACTCAGCAGTGGTTCCCTCTGGCTTTCCTAATCAAGTCGTCATCAGTGTTTACCAAATAGTCCACATCTTGCTCCACTTTCCTGAGTATCACTCCAACCCTTCTCCCTGCACCCTCTCAGCTCTTACTTTGGTCTGTTGATTCTGTACAACACATGCAGTCATTGAGTTCCTACCCTTAAAACCACTGTGCTCAGTGCAGCAGAGGAGGATTCGCATTTAAAGAGGAGTAAGAACCATGAAGCTTACCAATTAATAGAGAGTGTTAGCAAATGAGCCAATGACATGAAAAAACATAGAGAGTTGGAAATGTGATAAGCAAAGTCCACACCAATGGTCTTCAAACTCACCTGGGAACTGGGGAAGCCTATGAAGACCCAGGATGGTCCCTCCACATTAAGCCATGGCCTTTATGTGCTTTACTAGCTCTCCAGGTGGTTCTGATTCACAAGGCTTGGGAAATGCTGGTCTAAATAAAGGGCTAAGTGTTCCAAGTGGAGAGAGAGCACATCAGGTTGAGCAAGGGAGTATTATTAAATGAAGCCTCCTGATGGAGAGCATATGCACATGTATGTTGTAAATGGGTAGAATTTTGTTGGAAGAGATTTGAGCAAGGCTAGGATAGGAAACTCACATGAGTGCCCATGCAAGTGAACGGGAAGAAAACATAGCATACACACTGGGAAAAACAGGAGGGGAGACCTGAGAGAGAGCAAGACAGCCCAAGTGAGCCACACTCCGGAAGGCCCTGAGGAATTGGCACCAATTCTTGCAATCTGTGGCAAAATACACATTACATAAAATTTAGCAAGTTCAGTGTCATTAGGTTCATTCACATCATTGAGCCACCATCACCACCATCCGTGCGATGCATTTTAAAATCTCAGAGAGAGCACTGAGTGTAGGTTCCCTGTAGGGAACTGGTAAAAACTATGCTCTTGGAAAATCCAGAAGCCCCGGATGGCGTGGACTGGGGTAAAGAGACCAGTTCAAAGGCTATTGCTCAACAAGCACTTTTCTGATCAGCACTTCGGTCTTCTGGGTTCATGACCGATAGCGGTTATTACCCCTTGTAAATTAATTTAGATGGCATTCTGGCCATCCAGTCAGCCTCGGAGCTAGTTATTCAGAACCTTATCACATCTGCATTTTAAGTTCGTGAGCCGGTAGATCTGAGGACCCAACCCTGAGCCCCGGAACCTCCACGGACATGGAGACACCGGTGTCTGTTTTCCGGCACTGTGCTACCTATATAGCACCCTGTCGAATGCCACAGAGCTACAGAAATCAGCTATTTTTTCTGATGACTTTCCATACTGCCCAGCAGCCAAGCTTATAGAGGCCAAAGCTGTTTAATTCTCAGATTTTCTTTTAAAACTTTTCTTATTAAAATTGTAGTTACAAAGTTATGGTTAGTGGAGGCAGGAACCAAGATGGTCTCTAGGGAGCACATGATTTAAAAAACAAAACAAAACCCTTTACTCTTCCTTCCATCTGTTTTGCTACAAACTGGCCTCTCCTCTAATAAGCTATTTTGGACTCGGACTAAAAAATCGGAGCACACAGAGGTGCTGGACTTTTTTTTGCATAGACAAAAGCTGGGGCTGCAACAAATGAGATTTTGTTTGTAAACATGAATCTAGAGAATGGACCGCACTCAGAAGAGGCACTTACAAAAATGTCAAGCTGACAGATGAAAACTTCTCTTGTGCTCTAAAATTAAAATCACAACTTTCCTCAGATGTTACAAATACTACTTGGGGCAACTGTCATCACCTTGGTAAGCAAAGATGTGGACGGTTCCAGCAGGAGCTCTGAATCGGCGTCAGCTCGCAGGACCACAGAGAGCTTTCCACCTAAAACCAACCGGAGGAAGCAGCTGCAGGTGAGCGAGGTGGGACCACAGAAGCTGCGTGGGGACTCGTTTCCTGTTCCATGTTCACCGACTTTGAAAAGGGATTTCTGGGGGCACCTGGGTGGCTCAGTCAGTTAAGTGACTGCATTCTGTTCAGGTCATGGTCCCAGGATCCTGGGATCGAGTCCCACATCGGGCTCCCTGCTCAGCTGGGAGATTGCTTCTCCCTCCCCCTCCCATGCTTGTGCTCTCTCTCTCTCAAATAAAGCCTTTAAAAAATGGTGAGGGAGGATTTCTGAAGAAATCACTTACATCACTTTACCCCAGCTGAAAGATTTTAGGTGGCTTTAAAAATAAAAAAATTCCTTTAGAAGAGTGCTTGGCTTTGTTTGGCTTTGTTTTAGTAATCTCTATGCCCAACGTGGGACTTGAACTCAGAACCCCCAAGATCAAGAGTCACTCGCTCTTCAAACTGAGCCAGCCAAGTGCCCTCAAGGGGGCTTTATTTTGATAAGCATGATAGAACTTTGAAATCTTCTGAGTAAGGAATATCACTTAGAGACATTCAGTCCTCGTTCTGATAAGATAGCGCCATTATCTAGTTACTCAGTGATTGTGCCGGAGGGTTCCGTTTCGCCTTTCACAGATTTCCGTACTTTGGTTCATCATCACGTCAGCACACATGGAACATACAGCTTGTGCTTAACATTTTAAGATGTACAATTTAGTGTCATCTCTAGACTAATAAAATGAAACAAGAGTACAGTTAATCCCTAAGCAGGATGAACTCAGAAAGCATTTCTATTTGACTCTGCAAGCTGCTTTTAGAATTAGAGTGAACAAATACTCCCGAAGTTCCAGAAATTCTTACACAAAATAATCAAACTTCCCCACCATGGTTGCCAAACTTTTCCCAGTGCAAGCATAAACTATACTTCTTAAAATGCTGCAAAAGGCAGATTACTCAAAACTATGCCTTACAGGGATATCATGAAATAAATGAAAGACTTATATTTTGTTTTCTTTCTTTTTTTTTAAAAGATTTTATTTATGTGAGAGAGAGAGAACAGAGGGAAAGTGAGAGGGAGAAGCAGACTCCCTGCTGAGTAGAGAGCCCGACGTGGGGCTCGATCCCAGCACCCTGGGATCATGACCTGAGCCGAAGACAGATGCTTAACCGACTGAGCCATCCAGGCACTCCTACCATTAATTTTTTTTTTTAAGATTTTACTTATTTGATAGAGAAAGTGAGAGCTCAAGCATGGGGAGGAGCAGAGGGATAGGGCCAAGCCGACTCCGTGCTGAGTGTGCAGCGCGACAAAATGCTCGATCCCACGACCCCAAGATCACAACCTGAGCTGAAATCAAGCCAGAAGCTCAACCGACTGAGCCACCCAGGTGTCCCACCATTAAATTTTTTAAGTGTACATTTCAGTGGCATTAAGTACATTCACTTTGTTGTGCAACCATCACCACCATCCATCTTCAAAACTTTTCCAACGTCTCAAACTAAACCTCTGTATTCATTGAACAGGTAACTCCCCATTTCCTTGTCCCTGGTAACCACTATTCTACTTCCTGTCTCTGTGAATTTGATTATTGTAGGTCCTTTGTGTATGTGGAATCCTACAATAATTGTCCTTCTGTTACTGGCTTATTTCACTTAGCATAATGTCTTCAAGGTTCATCCATGTTATGGTATGTGTCAGAATTTCATTTCTTTTTAAGATCGAATAATATTCCATTGTATGTAAATAGCACATTTTGTTTATCCACTCATCCATCCATGGGCATTTGGGTTATTTCGAACTTTCAGCTATATAAATAACCCTGCTATGAAGATAGGTGTATAAATACCTGTTTAAGTCCCTGCTTTCAGTTCTTTTGTGTCTGTTCCCACAAGTGCTAGATGATATGGTAATTTTATGTTTAATTTCTTGAGGAACTGCTATATTCTTTTTCCATACAGGCTACATCATTTCACACTCCTGTCAGGAATGCATAAAGATTACAATTTCTCTATATCTTCACCAACACCTGTGATTTTCTGCTTTCTAAAATAATAGCTATTCTTTTTTTTAAAAGATTTTATTTATTTATTCGACAGAGGGAGACACAGCAAGAGAGGGAACACAAGCAGGGGGAGTGGGAGAGGGAGAAGCAGGCTTCCTGTGGAGCAGGGAGCCCAATGCGGGGCTCGATCCCAGGACTCTGGGATCATGACCTGAGCTGAAGGCAGACAATTAATGACTGAGCCACCCAGGCGCCCCAAATAATAGCTATTCTTATGGATGTGAAGGGCTATCTCATTGTGGTTTTGATTTGCTTTCCATAATGGTTGAGCATTCTTAATGATTGAGTTGATTTTTGTATGTAGTACAAGGTTAGGGTCCAACTTTGTTCCTTTGATGTGGATGTTCAGTTTTCCCAGGAACACTTGTTGAAAAGACTCTCTTTTCCCCACTGAAAGTTCAGTCTTTGCACTTTTGTAGAAAATTATTTGACCATATAGGCAAGGGTTTATTTGTGGGCTGTTTTAGTCCATTGGTATATATGTCTGTCCTTATGCTAGTACCACACTATTTTGATTATTGTAGCTTTGTAGTAAGTTTTTAAATCAGGAAATGTGAGTCTTCCAACTTTGTTCTTTTTCTTTTCTTTTCTTTTAAAGATTTTTTTTTTATTTATTGAGAGAGAGAATGAGGGAGAGAGAGAGCATGAGAGGGGGGGAGGGTCAGAGGAAGAAGCAGACTCCCTGCTGAGCAGGGAGTCCAATGTGGGACTCGATCCTGGGACTCTAGAATCATGACCTGAGCCGAAGGCAGTTGCTTAACCAACTGAGCCACACAGGTGCCCCTACTTTGTTCTTCTTCAAGATTGTTTTGGCTATTTGAGGTCCTTTGAGATTCCATACATATTTAAGGATGGATTTTTCTATTTTTGCAAAAACTGTCACTAGGATTTTGATAGGGATTTTTTTGAATCTGTAGATTGCTTTGGGTAGTACTGAAATCACAACAATATTAAGTCTTCCAATCCATGAACAAAGGATGTCTTTCCATTTATTTTTGTTTTCTTTACCTTCTTTTAGCAATGTTTTAAAGTTTCAGTGTACAAGTCTTTTGCCTCCTTGGTTAGGTTTTAGTTTTAAAAAAGATTTTATTTATTTGGAAGAGAGAGAGAAAGAGAGAGATGAGTGGAGGCAGAGGGAGAGGGGTAAGCAGACTCCCTGCTGAGCAAGGAGCCTGATGCAGGGCTCGGTCCCAGGATGCCGGGATCATGACCTGAGCTGAAGGCAGATGCTTTACTGACTGAGCCACCCAGGTACCCCTAGAAAATAACTTTAAAAAACTACTTGTTAGAGGGAGCATAACTCGGGGCGTCTGGCTGGCTTAGTCAGTAGAGCATCCAACTCTTTTTTTTAAACTCTTTTTTTTAAAGATTTTATTTATTCATTTGAGGGAGAGAGCACAAGCAGGAGAGGCAGAGGGAAATGGGGAAGCAGAGGGAGAGGAAGAAGCAAACTCCCCGCTGAGCTGGGAGCCCAAAGTGGGGCTCAATCCCAGGACTCTGAGATCATGACCTGAGCCGAAGGCAGATGCTTAACGATCTGAGCCACCCAGGCACCCAGAGCATCCAACTCTTGATCTCAGAATTGTGAATTTAAGCCCCACATTAGGCATGGAGCGTACTTAAAAAAAAAAAAAATGAGGGAGCATAACTCCCCAATCATTAAGTGTAAGCTGTGTATGGTGACTTCTTTCCAAAGAGTGCAGTTTGGAAAGGAGGAAAAAAGAGTAACTTTACCCTAGAGATACCTGACAAATACAATCTCAATTAGGTGATCAGGGTCAACTTCAACAGTATAAATCATGTTGATAGTATGTGCCCTTGATATGATATAATGAAAATAGCACTTTATTCTGTAATCTTCTTTCCTAAAACTCATAATCTCAGCCTATCCATGAGAGAAATATCTGACAAATCCCAATAGAGGTAGTCACAAAAGACCACATATTATATTATTCCATTCATATGAAATGTTCAGAACAGGGAAATCTATAGAGACAGGAAGCTAATTCGTGGTTGTTTAGGGCTGAGGTGAGAGAGGGGAACAGGGATAGTAGGATGATAGGTGGAGCCCCATGTTGGGTACAGAGACTACTTAAAAATGAAATCTTTAAAGTATACAGTTCAGTGGTTTTTAGTATAGTCACGAAGCTATGCAATCATATCCACTAATTCTAAAACAGTTTCATCACCAAAACCAAAATTTCTTATCCATTAGCAGTCACTTCCTGTTCTTTCTTCTAGCCCTAGACATTGCTAATCTACTATAGTGTCTCTATGCCTAGTCTGGAGATTTAATATAAATGAAATCATATAATTTGTGGTCTTTTCTGATGAGCTGCTTTCACTTAGCTTAATGTCTTCAAGGTGCATCTGTTTTGTGGCACGTATAAGTCCTTTTTGGGTAATTAATATTCCATTTTATGTATACACCACATGTTGTTTATCCATCAGTTGAGGGACATTAGGGTTGTTTCCACTTTGAGTTATTATGAAAAATGCTGTTATGAATATTTGTGATAAGTTTTCTCCCGGACATTTATTTTCATTGCTCTTGGAGATACACCTAAGAGATGAATCATTGAGTCATAGGGTAACTCTAAACTTTATCTGTTTGACAAACTGCCAGACTGTTTTCCAAAACAGCTGCACCATCATTCATTCCCACCAGTGTTGTGGGTTCCAAATTCTCTACGTCATTGCCAACACTTGTTTTTGTATGTTTTGTTTCTATTACAGCCATCCTAGTTGATCTGAGGTGGTATTCTATTTTAATTGTTGGATTGAGAAGTCACTCGCTGGGTATTTATTATAGTATTTTGCTTTTTTAAAAAAAGCAGTTCAGTAATTTTTTATAGTATTTTGCTTTTAACCAATATATTTTATACAACTTTTTTGTGTATATTAGGTGATATATTTTAAAAAGAACAAAAGGCTATGGGATT